CCGCTCTGCTGCTGCTGCTGCTGCTGCTGCTGCTGCTGCGGGCGCAGCGGCGGCGCCCGCGGCCGCGCAGCAGCTCCACGCCCACAGAAGCAGCAAACACAAAGCTGCTGCGGCCCCCAGAAGCCCCGCTGCAGCGCTGGGGCCCCCGGCGGGCGGGGGGCCCCCCAAAGAGGGGGGGCCCCTGAAGGGGCCCCAGTGCAGCAGCAGCAGCAGCTGCTGCAGCAGCGAGGAGGCCCTGCAGCAGGGAAGCCCCTCCATCCACGAAACCCTCGAGTGCGTTCTCTCCAGATCCATCAGATCTTGTTTAGAAGAACAAGAAGCAAAAGGGGGTTTCTTTCCCGTGGGGGCCCCCCTTGTGGACTCCATCAAAGCTGCTGTTGCTGCTGCTGCTGCTAGTCTGCAGGAAACGGACGAGAACTGCGCAGCACCCACGCAGCCTCTTGCTGCTGCTCTTTGGGAGGACCCGGGGGGCCCCCTCCAGGAGCCGGGGAGGGGGGCCACCCAGGCTGAGGGGGGCCCCCTGGGGGCCCCCGGCGGCTGCGCCAAGCGCTGCAGGCAGGAGGCCGGGGCTGCTGCTGCTGCTGCTGCTGCTCCTGCCTTTGCTGCTTCTCCTGAACCCAACTACAAAAGACTTCGACATCTCCTAAATGCTGCTACAGCTCCTCCGCCTTCTCTTTCTTGCCCCCTGCCCACTTTGCTGTCGCAGGAAAGGGCAGAGGGGGCCCCCAAGGGGGCCCCTGTCCCGGGGGCCACCCCAGGGGCCCCCAAGGGGGCCCCCGTAGGGGGGCCCCCTCCAGTGGCCCCCAAGGGGGCTCCTCAACCCGCAGGAGGCCCGCAGCAGCAGGAGGGGGGTGACAGGGAGCTGGGGGCCCCAAGCTTACAGGAAGTGAGGGGAGCAGCAGCAGAAACTGCTGCTGCTGTTGCTGCTGCTGCTGGCGGTGCTGCAGCAGCAGAGACGACGAGCGAAAAGCTGAAGGGAACTGTGTGCGTGTAAGAGAGAACGGTTGTACTTCGCTGCAGCGGCAGGTGGCGGAAGA